GGACAGAAAACAGTTTGGGCTGTCGGCTGTCGATTTAGGGCACCTCACAGAGGATGCTTTGTGTGTGTGAGACTGAATTGTGTGTCTGCGCCTTTGTGTTTTTGTTTGGAAGGGTGTGTCTCTGTGTATATGTGCATATACAGACAGGCACTGTACTCACATTTTCTCCCTGTTACACACTATTTACTTCAAAGTCATAAGGGAAAGGTCAGGTGGCATTTTACATCAAATCTAAAAAGCTGAATCATTTTACTTTATGATGTCATTATTTTTATATCAAAATGTTTAAAGAATCTTTTCAACTTTTATGCTTAGAAGTTCATAATGTCCTCATCAAGAATATCCAGTGCTCTAATGTAACAGAGCCACACCAAGGGAAAAGGGAATATCAGTGACTCCCTCTACAAGGCCTTTATCCATCCATCTCAGCCTTTCCTCTCTGTTGCTACCCCTCTCTTCCCACTGTTCAAAAGGACAGCCTATAAATAGATATTAGGCAATATCCTTAAGAGTCTGCACAAAGAAAGATGGAGGAGGGAAAGGAGGAAAGGGATGGAGCGACATTCTTACAAACAGCTGATTGTGTAAAGAGGGAACAGTAAGTAAGACAACACTGGTGGAGAGAGAGGCAACAAGACAGAGAGGTGGAAAGAGCAATACAGTAGGACAGACAATGTTAAAATAAGTTCAAGAGAGTGTGATGGAGCGATTGAGATACAAAGAGAAGTAGAAATTGTTTTGAAAGCTGAGAATAGGAAATGCAGTGAGATGGAAAAAGAGAGAAGGAAAAAAAGTCATGGCAATAAAGGGAGCGATAGCACAACAGTGAGGGAAACATTTGTTTTAAATTCTCGCCTGAGGTGTCATGGATGTAAATGTTGCAGTCGGCTCTTCGGAGGCAAAACGCCTTGGGCTCCTTATCTAAAAGGCATATTCCGCTCAACTGTTTTGATATGTGCTTCCATTCCCTCAGAGAACAGTTACAAAGATAACTCCCGTTTCCACAAAAATCACCCGCACTTGAGTGACAGGACGTTCTTTGCAGTCCAAAGACAGCGGGAACCCCCTCCCCCAAATGTCACTGACTGTGCTTATTGTAGACGAGGGATATGACTGACTGTGTAGGGTGTGTTTGTACAGTGGTTGAAATAATGGGTTATAATTTAAAGAGAAGCTGCATGTACACGCACACACACTTACATAGAAGCACACACACTTTACTGTGGAATTCTCCAGAGGAGGCTCCCACGCTCCCTGAAAGCTTGTTCTGAGTAGAGGAGTTAACAAGAGCAGTTGCACCATGATTATGTTAGCAGCCAGACACACAGAGCGAGAGAGCCGAGTATTTGTGAGTGAGTGGCTGCATGTGTGTGTGTGTGTGTGTGTGTGTGTGTGATAGCCTGTGACATTTCTACAACAGCTGCTTTAGTTTCCCCAACTCCTCACTGAAGCGGAAACAAATCTTTGCCCCTATTTTGCTTAATTTGTTTGATTTATATGTGTGTGGTTTTTGAAGTGTTTTGCATGTGTGAGCACCCTCACTTGTGTGCTCACTGTTTGTATTTAAACATGCTTGCATGTGCATAAGATTGCTGCTGCTGATGTGCCAGCACAGAGCCAGTGTGTTGATTGCAGTAAGTGACGGTCAGGAAAAGGGTTAACCACTATCGATGGTGATTATTTGGCCCGGTAATGGATGTCCGTCGCTGTCCGATTAGTAACTTAGAAGCAGTGAACATATGTGATATGAGAGGGTCTTAGTTCAGGAGACGCTAATCATCAAAAAGCCAAAGGGAAGTGGCATTCTAATCTCAGTTTAGCGCTTTCAGTTGTGTGTGTGTGTGCATGCGTGTGTGTATATGTGGTTCTTCCAACACAAATGGGAGTTTAAAGGTGGACAGAAGAAAACAGCAGATTAAAATTTTAAAGTTTACTCACTAATTTTATTTGTATATCAAAAAATATATGCCAGTATTGTTGCAATGGTATTATGTCATTTGAAATATTGAGAAAAGGCCAGCAGTATGTCTGTCTGTCAGCTATGGTAAGTGTTGTGCTTGCCATGAGGTGTTCAATGTTTGGCACTGTTATGGGGCAAAATTATACAAATCTTCTCTAATTATAACCTGGACTATGTTGCCAATTTATAAAACCTTGTCTTTGTTAATCCTCACATCACTCCTCTCAAACAGGCTTTCGCCAGGTCTCCACTGGCATATCAGCCCTGCAAAACTTTAAATGAAGTAGCCAACATAACCTGCACACTCACCATGCCTAATTGTACCATAATTCAACTTCAAATGGGAATGGGGGGGAGAGAGGGACTTTATACCAAGAGAAGAACTGTGAGCTGCTTCTCCAGACATAGACACCCACTTCTGAGGAAGGAGTAGTAGAGCTGGGGAGTGGGATATATGGGTGTGAAGAGGAGTGGAGGGAGGAAAAGAAGAAGAGGGCAAAATATAGCAAAAAGAATAATAAAATAAAATGTTTGCCACTGAAAGTCAAACGCTCTCTCTGGCTCCCAAGGTTTTTGAGTATCTGTGTTCCTTCCTGTGTTTATGTGTAACAGTGAGTATGAATTGCCTGTCCATTTGTTGTAGATGTGTCTCTGTGGCTACTGTGGCTAAAAGATGAACAATAAAATTGTAAAAACTAAATTAAAAATCTACATTGCTTTCCAAGTTGTTTTTATAACTGAGCCAAATTGCAACATTAATAAAGTTAGAGGATTCAAAGCTGACCCCAGCTTTGTGCAGAGGTCACGGTTAGGTAGAGGTGAGCATGACCCAAGGGAAGGTGTGTGTGTTTGGGTGTCTGAAACAAAAGGCCTCAGTGTAAGGGAGTTAAAGGAGGTAAAGTAAACAGGCAGTGATGAAGACAGACCTGCAGTGTTAGGGTCTCTGTTCTGTCTATGTACACGTTTGTGTGTGTGTGTGTGCACCGCGTGTCTCAAAGCCCTGCAGTTTGTACAGCTGGGCCTGCTGCTTGCGTTGGGTAGGAACCACTGAATAGAAACCACACACACACACACACAGAGACACAGCTTTTCTGCTCAGTCATTTTATCATTGGTATCATAAATGCTATCTCAAGTGAGTTTTAATGTTAATATCAATTGGATTAATGAACTTGAACTCTTATATCATCCAAACAAATAGAGAACCTTTCCCGATCAATTATGGCCTTGGTTTTTGCTGAGCAAGCCCAGATAGATAGTGTCCAAGAGCACCAGATAAAGAAATCAGCTGCAGATACACATTCCACTCTCTTGACTTCTTTACATGTCTGTTTATGTGTTTGCACATTTATTTTCTGTACACCGTCATATGTTTTAATGCTTATTTTAACTTGTTCAGCAATATTGTACCAGATCCAATCTTGACAAAATCATACAAAAAGCTCACTGAAACTCCAAATCATATGAAGAAAGAAATATTTTTCTGTGTTCCTCAAAATATTTTGGAGATAGTTTTTCAGCAATATGCATATTTTTAAAACTGGTTTAAATTATTAGATTATCTGTAAGGTCTAGAAATCTCACAGGCAAAATCTTCCAAACACAATTAAAGGTAATTAAATTACATGACTATGGTGGAAATTTTGCCTTTTTATTCTTTTATCAGCAGAGGTTATTTGATTTTGACCGTAACCTTCCCCTCAATATCATAACACTGCATGTTGTGTATCTTAGCATGCCGCTCTCCTCATTGCCTCCAGTGAGCAGCACTCAATATTGTTTGCTTTTCCACTGTCATAAGGTAAATAAGCAATGAATTAGTGGCAGGGCTGCTCCCAGGAACATTGCCAGATGTACAGTCCAGAGGAAATCCAATAGAGTCAAGAATGTAATCAATTTACCGGAGACAAGCGGGGAGAGAGGGAAAGAATTCAAGAGAGGAAGACAGAGCAAATCAGAGACAGACAAGGTACGGGTGGAAGATAAACAGTAGATGTGATGGTGTAGGCTTCGGTGAAAGAAATGCAGAAAGCAACTTGTGAAATCAAAGGGAAAGAAAGAATTAGAGTTTACAGTCAAATTTTCACAGTCCCTCCATCCACACCTCCATCCCTGTCATGCTTTGCTTCTGTGCAAGTGAGTGTTATGTAGCCTATTACCCAGGGTCATAGTCGCAGTGGCTTCAAGGCTGACAGGTGCATCTGAAAGCACTCAGGGTGATACTGAGGACCACATTAAATTCTATTACTGCCACATAGTCACTGCATACCTATTCAGGTGAAGTACAGAGAGGCAAATTTACCTTGTGAGAGACAGAATTCACCTAATAGATGTGGCTTTATATTCTCTTCCTTCTTTTCAAGGGAACAAATCCACAGTAACAAATGCAAACAGCAGGGCCCTTGTGTTGCTAGCTATTTTCCTCGAGTTCCTCTATTGTCCAGAGGTTTTCATAAACATGTTATTGTCACTGTACACACTGCTCTCACTCTCAGTCTCTCTTTACTTCTCTCTTTCCCACTCTGTGTTTGTCTGAAAGCCCATTGTCAAGACTTGGTCATTTCCTCTATAATGCCAGTGCAAGCGGGCTCCATTTGCAGTAATGGCCCCGTCTTTTGGAAACGTGAACATTGAATGGCCCCCATGGTAAACATAATGTAAGACCTGAGAGTGTGTTTGAAGGTCTTCCAAACTCACAAACTGACTGAAGGGGATATTGTGTGGAGTTGCATTGCGAGAGCTCTGAATGTGCTAATCCAGAGAGCAGGGAAGAAAGAGAATGGGACAGGTTAATAATTTTGGTGGGATTTGGTGTTTTACTGAGAGTAAACACACAGCAAAGTAGGTTAAAGTGATTGGTTCAGACTAACCAGGAGTTTACAGGAAGTAGTTTTATCCACAGAAACCTTCATACTCTGTTGTCACCATCATATAACTCCAGTAGCTGACCTGATATATAATTTTTTGAGTATTACTCACTCTTCCTCCCCCTTTTCATTCTCTCCCCGTCTTTCTGTCTCCCTTCTCCTCCTTTTTTCTAGGATGTCTTCCAAGCGACCAGCCTCTCCATATGGGGGGACAGATGGAGAGGTAACCATGGCAACCAGCAGACAGAGAGTGGAGGACGAGGAGAGTGAGGGGCTAGGTGGTGTCATCCACCTCCCCCTGGCTTCCTACTGTGGCAAGGTGTCCCCTCGCTCGCCCCCCAGCCGCAACTTGGACAGCCCCCCCAACACAGTAAGGATAGTTCAGTGTCACTTATTGTTTCTCAGGGCAATACTATGGGTGATGGGTTTCTTGTGTGCTGGCTCAGGGTCATGCTTTGGAATAGGTTTGCATCGTAACCCACCATTTAGAAAACTTTATCTCTACTGAAAACTTTCCATAAAAATGTGCCATGTTTATTTTTATTAAAAAACTCAATTGGCTAAATACAATCTCTAAATAAAGGTTTTCCCTTCCTCTTAGTCTTTCTTAACAATTGCACTCTTTCTCTGAGTAATATCAATAGGCACCATACTGAGCAGCCTAAAGTGACCATAGCAGGGCATGATGTCATATATGGGTTGTCTTTGGAGCAACTTAGAGTAGTTCCTATACTTTTTGGATCTGAATTATTTGGAGCCAGCATCCAGCGGCTGTCACTGATATCACACTCTACAGCTTCTAGGATACAAACATTTCTTATATGGTAACATTATGCTCCTTGTTTACATCCTCCAAAGCATTATGGAACTGTAGTTCCAAAAACCTGGACCATGATTATCCTCCAAATAGACAAAGATCTATAAATATGTACTTATTTTGCTTTGCACTATCAATATTTTTTGTCGCATCAATAAGGTTTTTATGTTCCTTAGACATACAGTTGAAGTTAAAAATTTACATACACATTAGACAAATACAAATTCAACTCAGTTTTTTTACAACTCCTGATATTTAATCCTATAAACATTCCCAGCATTAGGTCAGTTAGGATCACTACTTTTTTTTAAGAATGTGAAGTAAATAATAGTTGAGAAAAAGATTTATTTCAGCTTTTATTTCTTTCATCACACTCCCAGTAGGTCAGACGTTTACATACACTCAGTTAGTATTTGGTAGGATTGCCTTTAAATTGTTTAATACTTCGGGATGCCTTCCACAATCTTCTTACTGTAATTTGCTGGAATTTTAGCCAATTCCTCCTGATAGAACTGGTGGAACTGAATCAGGTTTGTAGGCCTCCTTGCTTGCTCACGCTTTTTCAGTTCTGCCCACAAATTTTTTTATTGGATTGAGGTCAGGGCTTTGTGATGGCCACTCCAATACCTCGACTTTGTTGTCCCTAAGCCATTTTGCCACAACTTTGGAAGTAAGTTTGAGGTCATTGTCCATTTGGAAGACCAATTTTTCAACTAAGCTTTAACTTCCTGGTTGATGTCTTGGGATGTTGCTTCTATATATCCATGTAATCTTCCTTCCTCATGATGCCATCTTTTTTGAAGTGCCCCAGTTCATCCTGCAGCAAAGCACTCTCACATCACAGTGCTCCCACCCCCGTGCTTCTCGATTGAGATGGTGTTCTGCAGGTTGTAAGGCTCCCCCCCTTTTTTTCCTCCAGACATGATGGTGATTATGGCCAAAAAGTAAGATCTTTGCCCCTATGTGCAGCTGGAAACCATAGTCTTGCTTTTTCACGGCAGTCTTGGAGCAGCCTTTCAGGTTATGTTGATATCAGACTTGTTTTACTGTGTCTTCACAAGGTCCTTTGCTGTTGTTCTGGGACTGATTTTTACTGTTCGGACCAAAGCCTCTTCATCTCTAGGTGACAAAATGTGGCTCCTTCCTAATCAGTATGATGGGTGATTTGTCCCATGGTCCCATGTCCCACTTGCATAGTATTATTTGTACAGATGAACATAGTACCTTCAGGTGTTTGGAAATTGCTCCCAAGGATAAACCAGACTTGTGGAGGTCCACTTTTTTTCTGAGGTCTTGGCTGATTTCTTTTGATTTTCCTATGATGTCAAACAAAGAGGTGCTGAGTTTGAAGGTAGGCCTTAAAATACATCTACCGGTGCACCTCATCACTTGCCTCTTGGCCTTCATCTCTCTAGCTACTTTGGCTCTCTGTCCTTGGCATTCCTTCCCATAAAGCCATCTGCTTGTGTGTGTTTGAGAGGTTCGTGGTTGAAAGTGACGTCCAGGGCACAGACCCCAGATCAGATTATGTTCACAATAATCCTGACCTGCAGCATTAAATAGGGATAGTCAGTGCTGAGGACAAGCGTAACCCTATAGGCTTCCTGTAGAATTAGGTAGCACCTGTGTAATAGTAAATTACAACTTCTGCTAAAGAATATTTTAATCTTCTGAATGTACTCAGCTAGAAATTAACCTCACTGATCCTGTTTATTGTCATTTTGAGAATGAATTTTATTCAAAAAAATAAGAATTGTGTTGCTTTTATGGAATTTCCAATAATTTCTGGACAAGCACACAAATGTTTTTGCTTATTGAAAAGGAAATTATTCCATATACATTGTGGATCTGAAACTCTTTTGATTCTGGTGTGCTGACTTGTACTGTATAGTTACCTTTTAGACCCCAAAATGAAACACTGTTTGGAGCTCAAAAAAATCAAACAAAATATCTGGATATTTGTTTGGTGATTCAGAGGACATGAAAAGACTTTGATTTCTAAAGAAACAGAAATTAACTTTCTTTGTGAGTGAAAAACTGTTTTGCGATAGGAGGTGGAAGATTTTTTTTTTCCCAAAAGTGAAGGTTGGAAGCTGCTGTTGGGTTACACATGTGTTTTTGCTTTTATGTGTGTGCCACCAGCCGCTGCCTTGAGCCAATTTGATGCACAGTTGCGTGACTGCAAAATGTGAGCTATTGCAGTGAGTCATTTTTGTCAGAATGAAGTGTAACACTGCGTGGCAGTGCTGAATGTATATGGCTCTGTATTTGTAAGCACATTCATGTGTATGTATTTGTACAGTTGCACCTTCTGTGTGATTCGTGTTAAATATTAGTGTAGGTCCTGCAGTATATGGGCTTATTGTAAACTTCTCTCTGATGTGTGTGCGAGTACACAGCTACAGTATATGTGCATTTTAAGATGACTCTGGTTTTCTGCATGTCACTACACATTCTATACATGTGGTGTAATTTATAAAGCATGTTCAGTACATAAGTGTGATTATGTGATAGTACAGGGTATCATGTATTGCCTGTACTGTGTGCATTGCTTAGCAGTTGTTTTTTTATCATGTAAAGGTAAGAAAATGTTGACTTTCCACCATCATGAGAAACATGTCAGTAAGGTTTCATGGCATTTGTTAAATAATTTGGTTCTCTTTACAGTGCTTTTTCACTTTGTGTGTGATGCACTGTGTCTATGTCCTCGCCTTAATACACACTTTGTCAAAGCAGCACCGATAACAACCGTTGACCTTTCCCCCCATACTGACAGCAAATGCTCACATGCTGTAAAACAATGAAACAGTGCTTAGGAGCTATAACAGAAAGCTAATTGTGTCATTAACACTGATTAGCCTGCAGGCCCTTCCCACGGTGGACTCTGCATGTGTGGCAGGTACCAACTGTAAACCAAAGTCCTGGGACCATGCACACACAAATAAACACACACAAGCACGCACGCACACGTGTGTCAGGTTATCTGACGTTTTTAAAGACTTTGATTAGATTATTCCTGGTTTGTTTAGCTAGATTTATCTTTTATATTAACTTTATACAAAATACAAGAATATATAAACATTACTATCATTAATATTTTGTTGTGATTTTGGTCTGTTCACTGTTCCTCCTTGGCTTAATATGAACTGACCTCTTTTGAAATTTTCTTATATATATTCAAAATGACACACGACTGCTTTCCGGGTCATTACTTGGTGACAGGAGGAAGACAGTGTTGATGTGTGTGTTTGCAATGGACTTGTTGTTTTGGAGTGGAGGGATGGGAAGATAGTTGATATGGATTATTAAGTGGCTTATCATACTGCCTGCTTGACATGTTGTATGGTGTTGGTTGGTGTGGGGGGGGGGGGGGGGGGTTACAGTGGCAATCCTTTCACAAAGAGTGGGTGAAGAGAAAGATAGAGACAGAAATTTACAGCAAGGTGTGAATGTTGGTGGGACTCTAAGGGTGTGGGGTGGGGGCTCTCTCTCTCTCAGCTCTCAGGGCTATTGTCGTAACATGATAGGGGGAAGTAAATGTCTCATTGGTGACCAGTTGCCTTGGAAGTGAGGCAGCAAAGGAGAGTAAGTAGGAGGGTGGAGGGGATTACAGCTTTATCTTGTCATAGCAAATTACCACGGCGGCTAAGAAGTGTTCAGTTACACACTGACCTCTTCATCCCGCCTGCCCTGCCTGCCCATTCAACTTTGGCCTGGCCACTTTACCTGCTTGATGCAGCTGTACACACACACACACACACACACACACACACACACACACACACAGAGAATAAAAACAGCACTTGCATATACAGTATTTTAAAAGCCTGAAATGTGTGAGATTATTATTCACTTTTTAAAAGTTTTGTTTCTGTACAAACCCTGGCCCTGAGTAAGAATAGTCCTGATCATAATGGCTTGCAAATGAATGTAGTTTAGCTAAAAGGGTGTTCTTACTGAATGTGGAGTTCTCAAGATGCAGCTGGACCCTGATTGGTTGAAAGCAGCTCAGTTCAAATGTTTGATGGGAAGGATTTTAACAGTAGTTCAGTGAGGTCAGCCAGTCAACACTGAATGCAGTTATGATGCAACCACAGTTATAAAAGGGTGTGTTTTTAACTTTATAAAGGATGGAAACACAATCTAAGTCCCCAGTAAATATATGCGAAAATGTATTTAAGTCAATAGTATAAGCACAGATTTTTATTTAATTACTTTCTTTTATTCAGGGTTTTTATGTTTGTGTTTTGCACATCCTTGGAGAAAAAATGTTTTCACATCAGGCTGAAGGAAGCATCTTCTCTCATAAATGTGTTAATGGACAAACACTAATTATTTCATTAACAAGCGAGATGCACGCTAACACGATGGAAACTATAAAGATATTTCATCCGGCATTATTTCTTATTCATTTTCCTCTACAAGCCCTCTCTTCCCCTCTTTTTTTGTAATCTGTATGTGTGACTGTGTGTGCGTGTGTGTGTTCATGTGAATTTGACAGATTTAACACAATCATTGAGCAGTCTTGTGACACAGTGGTCACACTTAATTTCTCATGCCAGTGATGTACTAATGAATCAACACACGCTTGCCTGTCAGCGAGGGGTTGTGGTAAAATATACTGGCAGAAATTTTAGCCAAATGGCCATTTAAAAAAAATGAAACATACAGCTGCATGTTTTTATTTAAGTAAAGGGCAAGTGTGCAGTTCTTGGACAATAATTTAGATTTGCCTGTTAGAATTAGGATATTAGAGTTTCTTAACAACTAAATGGCATTATTTTGTTTTTATGTAAGCACTGATATGTAATATACAAAAATAATTCAGTATACTAAAATAAATACTTTTATTGTCCCATTCCAACATTAATAAATGTGTGTGTATATCAGCCACTTAGGTACACCTATACAATTATATGTAATTCAATGCAACCCTTCCACATCTGTGTTTATGACACTCAGGATGTTTCAATTTTTTCATAGTTAAAGGTGGTGTTGTACCGGACTACATTATATTTAGAGGTGTCTATATTTTTGTCCTTCCCAGCTACCTATGTACATGAGAGGGTCAGAATATTAATCTGACAATGTCTGTGTTTAGCCATGGCATGTAAAGGGATTTTCTGTGTGTGTGTGTGTGTGTGTGTTTGGCAGAGCATCAGAGGTGTGTTAAGTGTATGTCATGAAGATTGGCAGCTCTGGCATTGAGCTAAGTCTTATGCATGTATTTTAGATGAGCAGCTGTTTCCTGTTCTTCTTACTGCCACATTGTCTGTGCCTTGATCTACGACGGCATGCCAAGCATCAAATATTGTTTTTCACACATACACCTTGCACAGCCCGAGACATGTCAGACTACAGCAGAGAGAGAGAGTTTTTCTGTTGGGCAACTGAGAAGGAGGATGGGAAGAAGACACAGAAATTAAAAAAAAAAAAAACAGAACATGAACAGTGGCATCTGTGCTGGCTGCAGGAAAAAAATGCATTTGGATTTTTCCCCCTCTTTTTCTGGCAAGAGTTAAGTGTTTTTAAACCAACCTTCCCTCACAGATGAGCTTAAGAAGACAAAAGTTGTTTAATTCGGTTCCATTGCAGAGGCAGTAAAAGGATAAAGAGAGCGAGGTGCAAATTTTACTTTGTTCCAGTCATTTGGAAGAGAATTGACATCTGCAAACTAAAGGCAGAACCTCCCACACTGCCAGCCTGCCACATCCAGTGCTTATAAATACATATATGCAGGCACTCACACATTTACACACACACACATACCTACAGGCTATGTGCGCTCACAGTGTCACACATATAGGGCAAAGATATGCCAGAAACATGCTCACACACATGCAATGAGAGGAGGACATGAACGTTTACAGTATCCAGAATTTCTGGTTGTACTTATGAATAAATGCATGTTGATGAGAAAAGTTTTACAACCTGGGTTAGTGCAGGAGCAAAGAAACATTTCATTGCACACCCAGCTGAGTGACACCAGTCTACAATACACAATCTGTCTCATCTTGTCTTTTTGATTCGTCTGTCTTGGACTTTGCAGCGCAAATCGCCAGTGTGGTGCATGGATTATATGCTGGGAGATTGATAGGGGGAAAAAAAAGCCATTTAAGTTGCCTTTGAGATAAGACTGTCTGTTTGACTTCACACACACAGAATGTCATGGGCCCTACCAGGTCTTTGAAGAAGCCACAGCTCCCTCCTAATTTTCTTTGACTGGGAAATGACCTTCATTGTTGGACACAGTGAGATGACATCTCCCTGGCAGCTTTCCGGCAGAGCAAAGAGATTTGACAACCCCTCAACCCCCAACCTTCTCTCCCCCAGTCCCTCCTTCCCCTCTCATCTCCCTCCAGTATTCGTGTTCTGTTTGTTTTGTTTGCACAACATCTTTCTTGAAAAAAAGAGTGTCGCTGTTTTAAGTAGGCGCTAGATTAGATAAATGGGATGTGACAGGTGTGACCACTGCCTTCAAGATGCCTGCCTTTCTCTCTCTTTTTCTCCGTGTACCTCTGTCAACTCACTCACTCTCATTTCCTCTAATAACATTGGTCCTCTCTCTTTCTCTTTGTCACCTTTTCTTCTTTCGTAATTTGACTTCCACCAGCTAACATTGCTTTTCTCCCTCTATCTCATTACATTTGCATGCCATGCCAGCACTGATGCAACTTGTAATCACAAAGCCGCTCATTTAAAGTCTGCATTTCCCTAATCTGAAGAACAGCAGAGGGTGAAGGAAGAAAGAAAGCAATAAAGAGAGACAGAAGCAGGTTGAGCTATAAGTTGATCAAGTGGTGAAGAGGAGAAGCATTTGAGCGCTATGAGATCACAGACGCTTGCCCAGAGCAGCACAGCCCTCAACCGGCAAGTTAGCAGGCCCCAGCAACAACTGACCGAAGCCTCATTACTCTATTGCACACTATATATATATATACACACAACTGCTACAGCCATGTCATTACTGTCACACTATGCCCCTCTGTTACAATGCATGTTCAGCTCTCCAAGGAGAGAATTGGTGAATTATTGAGCGTGCTGGCTTATTCAGTGTGGAAACGAGCAGAACCCAAGAGAGAGAGAATCAGCGAAGTGTAGAAAATGCCAATGATAATGGTTTGCTGTCTCTCATATACAATAATGTCAATATTGAAAGCCCATGTCTGGCTTTATTCTCTCAACAAAACACAGAGGAATGAATTGAGACTTTGTTATGAGGAGCTTTTTTTCCCCTCTTATGATTAAATTGATGTTTTTATAGAAAAAGAAAGAATAGAATCTGGAGTTATCTGGGGTCTAGATGACTTCACTATGGACTGTGATCTCTGTATTAAGTTTCACTTCCACCAGCAGCCTGCAAGTTAATGATTAGAAAACCATCTCCACCTTAATACATTCTAATGTCATTATTAGAGCAGGA